AGAGAGAGAGAGAGAGAGAGAGAGAGAGAGAGAGAGAGAGAGAGAGAGAGAATTTTTCATTATCTTGGGTGGGTAGAGAGGGCAGGGTAAGCCAGAGAGAGAGAAAGTCAAAGAAGTGTTATAAATTTCATGGTCAGAGCTATCAGTCAAAGAATGTTCCTCATTTTTGCGGTTCCATGTTCTATTTTCGACAATACATCGGTCATGATAGTGAGATCATGTGGACAACAGACCGTTTTATACGCAATAAGCATGTCTTTAACACTTATTCAAATTGTTACCTTGAATCATAATATATCAGTATCAAGTATGTATTAGTGTATCATAAAGTGTACAAAGGCATAGTGATTTTTTGTTCACATTGTAGGCTGGAATCTCTCGTTTTGAAGAAATGTACATTATTTTGTATGATATCATGTATAAATACTGAATAAACAAAATACACCTACCCACTTTTGCGATACTGTGTTTGAAGTTGTGATGTTGATCTCAAACTTTCAGTGAATAACGAACAACCACCGCAGTAGGTACAACAGAAAGTTTCACAATTTGTACCAAGGTGTTCAGATGATAGACCTCAGGCGGCAATGTTTGAGAAATACATGAATGTAAACTACAGGCGAATTTTGCCAAATGCCGCCAGGTTGGTCGGGATGAGGTACAAAGGAGTCCTTGTAGAATCGAACACTTTGCGCTCATTAAAAAAAATAGATTGCGCTTTTTATGAATGACATGTGGGTGGTTGGTGGGTACTCTGGTGTGGGTTGCTCCTTCTTTCCTATCAAACATCTGTCGTCTTTATCTCTTCTCCTTTTGAATGTTTGTTATTCACTTGTAACACCTCCAATCATCAGCATTTAAATGACATTATTGTGTTGCAAGTGCCGTAAAACTCACACTTAAACAAACATGATTTGAAAACTACAAGTCTGTGGTTAGCAATACGGTCCATTTTTCACGCTTTGTTTGTTTCCATAGATACAGTCGAACCTGTTGTAAAGGTCATCTGTCCAAGACAATAACCTGTACAAACAACCACTTCCAAGTCACGCTTGTGTTTTTACTTTACATAGTATAATGGCACTGTCCAAGAGTCCACCTGGCTAAGACAACTACTTTCCCCCTCGAGGTCGTCTTGGACAATTATGACTGTATTTGAATTTTCGCAAGGAAAAGGATACCCAGACATAAGAAGTTAAAAAAAAATGTGGAAGAAAAGTATTAAAATGTGGTGTTGTATGTTGCCAGTGAGTACCTCTTGTACAGTAAGCTTATCTAATAGCTAGTCAGGAGTTCGGCGTGTCATGAACATGATCAACAGAAACGAGTACAGTGGGTATGAAGTCGATAAAGTCCCGACTAATAACAACAACCAATCACCCCTCGCCTTAGAGTATAGGTATTTTGATACAAAGCAAACTATCAGTCAACCTCGATATAAAGAAAAAATTTGACCTATTCGGCCTTTTTTAAAAAGAAAAAATTCACTTGTGCTTTAGTCCAAGACAAACAAGAAAGCAGAAAATGCATACATGTAATTTGTTGTAAATGTTTTATGCCTCTTTGGGACTTTAAGTGGGCTGTTGAAAACCTTACCGCCTGTTTTGGGAAGCCAAGAATTTTGTTTTTGACATGAAGACAAATACAGATTGGACAAAAGACACGTAGACACACAGGCACGCTGACATATGGACAGGCATGCGGGCAGACACATGACAGACACATAGAGTTGAGAGAGACAGAGATAGATAGAGAGAGAGAGATAGAGAGAAGGGGGAGAGAAAGAGAGAGAAAGAGAGGGGGAGAGAGAGAGAGAGGGAGAGAGAGAGAGAGAGAGAGAGAGAGAGAGAGAGAGAGAGAGAGAGAAAGAGGAGGGGGGGGGGCAGAAGCAGCGTGTCATTCTGCCGAAGTATACACAACAGACAATCTGTCTACCTGACTATCAATTTATTTGGGGGCTCTGATGATCTAGAGGTAGTGTTCGCCTCTTACCGAACAGGTTACGGGTTCGTATCCTGACAGCGACGTAAAATGTTCTTCTCAAACATGTGTTTCCCTTCGATCCCCTTTCCTGCTGCTAATTACGTTCTATCATCTGCTTTTATCTCCACATTCTACGCCCCCCCCCCCCTTTTTTTTCCCCCGCCCCCGGGCTCCTGATTCCATCTACTGCTACTCCTGGTTCCTTTGTAATGCTGATCTTAGGGTAGGTTAGATTTTATCACCTAGATCTAGCCTTCTCAGAGAAGTAAGAGTGTAAAATTCTCGGAGGTCGCATGTGCAAATTGCGCACGAAAAGATCTCTTGGAGGTCCTAAAATCGTTTAGAGTAGGCCTCGGCCGCCACAAAATCTAAAATTAATTCCTACAAAAGTGAAAAGGTTTAATGTGTATCCCGCTCTCATATGACCTTATGCAGTTGTGAGCGCCGTAAAACACTTACAAAAACAATGACTATTTATTTGTTTCTTTGTTTGGTCGTTTTATTATGTCAACAACCCCACCCCCACCCCCGTCCCAACCCTTGTACTTACATAAACAAATGTCTATTTTTAAGGCAGACCCAATAAACACTAAATTTTCAGCATTGTTTTCTGTATCCTCCTTTTTCCCAACGGGAAAAGGGCGAGGGGTCACAACTCAGCAGGACAAATTAGTGTCCTCCAATTAGGGCCAGTTCCCAAGAACACGTGTCCGGTAACTAACCCAGTGCCATCAGTTATTCAACAGTGTGCCTCAATCGTCACGCACGCACGCAAAGTCGTAGAGAGTTTCAGTATCAAGTTACTTTAATCTGAAGCATACTGCTAAGTTGAAGCAAGCAATAGGGCTATGTATACTACAAGAATGTTCTCATATTGTCTAAGAAATCAAAGATCCCTAATAACGCTGTAAAGTAATGTAGGAAGGTATTTTTAGGAAGTGAAGTATCGGTAAAAGTAATCTGAGCTCTGAATTTTGAA